AATGAAGCTTCAAAAAATTCATGGATAATTTTCATTATCTTTCAATTCCATTTTCCACAACCTTTTTGAAGTCCCTTTATGTATACACTGGAGTACTGGTGTGGTGCCATAGGATAAGCACTCAACCTCAAGGTTGGTTTGAACTGCAAGGTCGGCTGTTCAAGCTCACCAGCCACTCCTTGAAAACCCTGTACAGGGTCGCTATGAGTTGGAACTAACTCAATGACAGTGGATAGATACAATTTTTGCTCTATAATAATTACTAGTATTTCATCTTTAATTTCATTTTTTACAGTTTCAAAAGATACTCCATGATATTAAGAACATGTACTCTTGAAATTAAGATTGTTATTGTTAAGTGCCGTTGAGTAGGTTGTGACTCTTGTACAGGATTTCTTAGGAGCAGCTGGTGAGCTTGAACTGTTGACCTTGAGGTTCAAATAGACTTTGCAGTCCAGCGCATTAACCCACAGCATCACACCAGGACTCTTGTAATTAAGATATGTGCCCTTAAAATTTGAATTGGTGCTGGTGGTGGTGGCTATGTGCTGTGGAGTCGGTTCTGATTCATAGCAACCCTGTAAAGAGTTTCTGAGGCTGTAAATGTCTCAGGAGCAGAAAGCCTCATCTTTCTCCCATGGAACTTCTGGTAGTTTCAAAATGCTGACCATGAGATTAGCAGCCTGACTCATAACTGCTGTGGTACCAGAGCTTCCAAATTGCCTTCCAGAAATTTAGTATCACCAATAGTGTATGAGTTCATTTTCCTCATGTCTTCAGCAAAGAGTATTTTCATTCTTTTTGATCTTTGCTAAACATTTAAGTAAGAAATGGTTTTTAGTGGTGATTTTTAGACTAGAAAATGTAAATAAGTTTCAGGATGTATAAGTGATCATCATAAAATAGTTAAAATCATCTTCGGGTTATGGGGCAGTGATCATTTTATAGAGAAGACTTTTGTCTTCATAGTCTGTCCCATGAATATGGAAGGTGTGCAGTTATGTTCATTTTACTGTTATTTCTGATACATATAGAATGTTATTCAAATGAAAGGATCCTGGTAATCATTGTTAGAATCAAGAGCAGTTCTAAAATGGTTATCACGCACTTGCCAATTTGCAGTATGCCTGTTTGTTTAATAGTCTGAAGCGTCTACATGAAATGTCTATATATTCTATAACCAGCTACATATATTTCCAGCAGCCACGGATCTCAAATTTTCTTGGGCATTCTATTTCAAACATTCTGTCCTTTGCCCTCCAAAGTAATCTTCCTTGACAAACCATGTTTCTTCTTAGTTTGGAAAATATGGCTGCCATAGTCGTTTCTCATTGCTTCAAAATGAGGTGTAGTTAAGCGCTTACCAAAACCAGGCAGCAGGTGCTACCTTGAAAGGACTAGGCACGGTTGAGCACACTTGTTTCCTTAACGCGAGACCGTGACCACGTTTTCACTAGGCCGTGGCCAAACGAGAAAAGACGGCCCTTGAAGTACTAGGAGCTGACGTGCAGCTGTAACTCCTAAGCAAGAAGCAAACCACACTTGTTATTCCCAGTGGGTGCGTAGGGTCCAACTGTTCTGTCTTGAGTCTCTCTCACTGAAGCTTCCAGTATGTGTTCAAACCATAGCAGATTTAAGAAATGTTCCTTTTCCCATTCCAAATGCCCTTTCTTCTCATTCCCTAATTAAGACCTGCATACATTTTTAAGTGTTAAAACATCCTTTCTTCTCTGTTATAAAACGATGGTAATCTTAGATAGTACAGGTAGTCCCTGACTTTTGATGGGGGGTGGGGTTTCCATTCTGGCAACTATGTGGTAAATTGATTCTGACTAAATAGAATACCTCTTTTTTATTTGTTAGTTTTCATTGTTATTGTCTTTTATTTTCAGTATCTTTATAAATCTTATCTTTGTCTTTAGGATTTAAAATATTATATATAAACCTATAGATATATTTTAATGCACACATATGTACATATTGCTAGTGAAAAGATATATACACACACACAAAAGGTGGTCATAAGCGCAGTTTGTAGTAACTCAAATACCTCATAGTAATTCAGGAACTAACCTGTAGTTGGTTTGTATTTTTTGTAGTATTACTGGCTATAGACACAAACTTAACGCTCCAAAATGACCACGCCAAGGTCACCTCAAAACCATGTCTCTCGTCCCTTCCCCTTGCTCCTGCAATCTAGGAAGGAGCAGACTGCTCTCTCCTCCAGCTATAGTGTTCTCCTGCTTTAGTTATGCAAATCCTAGGAAGGAGCGCCACTTGGAAACTCATTGTTCTCTAAGAGGGGACAGACTGCCCAACACCTTGTGATTTTTCTATCCTTTCCTAGTTCTGCATACCATCCTCAATTGCCCTTATGCTTGTGAATATCCTATGGTATAAAAAGACCTCAGCCCCCACCCCTCATAGGATCCAGCTGGTAGCCACTGGACACAGCTTTATTGTCCCCTTTGTAGGTAAATTCCTTTGTCAGTAAACCATCTTCTTTATTCTCTTGTTGCCAAACTGAAATGAGGGTTTGCCACCTGTCCCTGTAGTCAATCACAGAGATGGGGAGAGATCTGACCCAGGCTTTAGTAGACAGAAAGCCAGCAGTCTGAAGAACTCCATTACAAAGAGCAGGTACATAGGGTAAATTACATTAAGATGTGCACTTAATCGATTTTAACATCAGAATAGCATTCTTTAGAAAAAGAAACAATAAGGCAATAAACTTCCTCAAACATTTTACCTTTAGGGTCTCAGCTGCTAAGCTCCTGAGATAACTATCTGGGTGGGTTTAAGCACATCTTCTCTTTCTAGGACTATGAGGTCATCTCAGCTAATTTTTAAACTAACTTCCTCATTTGCAAGGTTCTTTCTCATTTATTGAGACCTGATGACTAAACCGACTCCATTTTGTTTAGGTGGGAAGATTCATGTTAGCTTTCTTTTCTGTGATAAATTAATGTCTCTGGAAATGAGTTCTGGTCCGTCACTATGAGTCGGAAGTAACTCAATGGCACAAAACAACAATGACTCTTACCACTCAGAAGGCATTTCCTTTCTGGGTCTGAAACTCAGCACTAGCCCATGCCTAAGCCTGTGCTCCAGACTCAGTTTTGTTTTTCTTTTTACTTCCTTATAGCACCTTGGAAAATCTCTCTATCTGAGCCTTACAATAGGAGCTCTGGTAGCGTAGTGGTTACGAACAGGGCTGCGAACCACAAGGTCAGCAGTTCAAAACTACCAGTTGTTCCGCGGGAGAAAGATGAGGCTTTCTGCTCCTGTAAAGATTTACAGCCTCGGAAACCCTGTACAGGGTCACTATGAGTTGAACCGACTCCACAGCACTTAACAATAACAATGACAGTATCTTTAGTAGCTTTCCAGCACACCCTATGGGCTTGCTATGAGGATGAATAAATAATGTATGAGAGCCTTTGGGGAAACAAAAGGCAGAATTGCTATATAAATATAAATATTGTTATTTCTGAAAATTCACTATCTTTTTTTGTAAGGTTTTCATAATCAAACAGTATTTCTGTGCTTTTTTTTTCAAGAAATAAAATGTATTTCGTATGTAATGATTACTGCTTCTATAAAAGCAGGATATTTTCGTTTAAAAGGTTATTGGATATAGTTTGTATCAATATTTTTAAATCCTTTAAACAATTGTTGTCGTTAAGTGCCAATCGAGTCGATTCCGACCCATAGTGATACTGTATAGCGTTTCCCAGGAACAGCTGGTGAGTTTGAACCGCTGACCTTGCGGTTCAAACGGCTTTGCAGTTTGGCGCATTAACCCAAATTGCCACACCAGGACTCCTTAAGCAGTGTTGTTGTTGTCAGGTGCCATCGAGTCGGAACCGACTCATAGCAACCCCATGCACAGCAAAACGAAACAATGTGCGATCCTGGGCCAACCTCACTACCGCTGCCACACTTGACGCCATCAATGATGCTACCTGGCTGATCCATCTCATTGGAGGTCTTCCTCTTTTTCTCTGACCCTCCATCTTACCCAGCATGACATCCTTCTCCAGCGACTGTTCCCTCCAGACAATATGTCCAAAGTATGAGAGACGAAGCTTAGCCATCCTGGCCTCCAAGGAGCACTCTGGCTGTACTTCTTCCAAAACAGATCTATTGGTTCTATTGGTTCTTAAGCAATAGGGATCATTAAAAATAATGGGTAACTAACTATTGGTCGGAATCAACTCTACGGCACTTACAACAATTAACAACATTGAGAGAAAAAGGAGCTCTGGTAGCGTAGTGGTTACAAATCGGGTGGCTAACCTCAAGGTCAGCAGTTGGAAACCACCAGCTGTTCTGCAGGAGAAAGATGAGACTTTTTGCTCCCGTAAAGATTTACAGCCTCGGAAACCCTGTACAGGGTCACTCTGAGTTGGAACCGACTCCACGGCACACCACCACCATTGAGAGAAAGGGTGGATTGTTTTTTTTTTAACAAGTTGTGGTTTTTTTTCTCGGTTCAGACAGTTTTAATCATTGTTCCCAATCCTTACTGCCCTGACTAACCTTTCCCCTGTGCTTTGGGAACAGATAGGCTAAGGATTTAGTGCTGCAGTGTTGATTTAGACCTGGGATAAGAAAGCCGGGAGGGAGGGATTCCATATCCAAGGGTCAGGATCTCATCACTTAAAAGAATGTAACTGTAAGACAAAGATTTCCGTTAAGGCCATTAATATTGTTTGGGGCAATCAAGTCCCAGGATGTAAGGGCAATGACTCAGTGGGACTTAAACTCTATCCCTGGATGAGAGAGCTATAAAACTCTGAGAAAAGAATGTAATAATGCAGATAGATTGATACCTAGAGAGGTATGAGAGTTCTGGCTATGGGTAAGGCAAGGCAGTCTTTCCGAAGATTCTCCCTGCCTTCCAGATCTGTCAATAAAACATATGATATCGGCTACAGGCTGGCAGTTGGACTTTTGTCCGGTAACACTATTAATTAACAGCAGTAATTTTTATAATGAAAGTAGTTTCATATAATGGAAAGGAAGTTGTTGTTAGAACTTATGAAAGTCTAAAAAATGTAATTCTCTTTTAAATGTAATCTTAGTTTTCTTTTAAGGAGTGGGGGCAATTGATAATGTTTAGTGTACTTTCTACGTAGGTAAAGATATGAATGAGTTTTTAGAGTCCATGAAGCAGATTTCTAAGTAAGCTTAGCATGGTAATCCCCAACCTGGAGACGCTCACTGCTCATTTATCTGGCCTTTTAGTATTTTTATATATCTAAGTGTTGCAAAAAAAAAATTCACCCCCACCTACAACTGAAATGCTTATCTTACATAAATTTTCTTGTTATTTAAAGCATATGTAAACTATTAAAATACAGTTTACCTCCCTGTCAATACTATCTTTCTTGAACCTCTGATCTTACAAGCACTTTGACCTCTCAGAGCCCCATCATTGCCTGGCTTGCTTCACTAAGCCCCAACCACACCCTGTGCTGGGGAGAAGAGAAGTGAGGAAGCTCTGAATTAATGGTCTTATTACATTATAATATATCCAATCTTTCAATGTGATAGATCCAGAAGAAGCTATAACTCTATTAATTTTCTGCCTGTTGTCTGTACGTAAACTTATGTTATAGCCTATCCACTGAGTATAATGATTATTATCCACAGGCTGAAGGCCAAACCACCTCCGAGTGTTCCTCAAAGAGATTATGCTTCAGGTAAGAGTGTTTCTAAGATACTTTAAGTCTTGATTAATTTAAATGCTTTATTAATTGATGGGAGGAGAAATTTGTTCCATTAACTTGAAATCAAGAAATATGGATCTTGATCCACTCACTATCCATCCATTGGTTTATCCATCCGATCTTTAAGCATTTATTTATTAAGCATTATCCATGTGGTAGCATAGTGGTTACAAATCGGGCTGCAAACCTTAAGTTCAGCAGTTCGAAACTATCAGCTGTTCCGCGGGAGAAAGATGAGGCTTTCTGCTCCTGTAAAGATTTACAGCCTCGGAAACCCTATACAGGGTCGCTATGGGTTGGAATCGACTCAACGGCACTTAACAACAGGCACATACAAGGACTTGGGTAGAAATACAGTGCAAAACAGCAGGCAAATACAGTGTGCACACTCACAGAATTTATAGTATGGAAGGGAAGATCCATAAATCCATTGCCATCAAGTCAACTCGAATTCATCACAACCCTACAAAACATAGTAGAACTGCCCCATCGAGTTTCCAAGTCTGCAAATATTTATGGACACAGACTGCCACATCTTTCTCCTGCAGAGAGGCTGGTAGGTTCAAAGGACCAGACTTTCAATTATCAGTCATGTACTTTAAGCATAGATTCTTAGACGAAAAGACCCCAAAACCAAACCCACTGGCATCAAGTAGAGTTTGACTCATAGCAACCCTTTATACGATAGAGGGAAGTCCTGGTGTGGCACTGTAGGATAAGCTCTGGATTGATAACTGCAAGGTTGGTGGTTCAAACCCACCAGCCACTCCTCAGAAACTCTATATAGGGTCACCATGAGTTGGAACCGACTTGATGGCAACAATAATAGAATAGAGTAGACCTGCTCTCATAGTCTGAGACTGTAAACCTTTATAAGAGCAGAGAGCTTCATCTTTCTAATGCACAATGATGGTAGGCTTGAATCACCAACCTTGTGGTTAGCCGCCCAGTGCTTAACCTACAGTGACACCAGGCTCCTTGAAGAGAACACAGATGATGTTAATGCAATTCTAATTCATTGTGATAAGAAGCATAAATTTCTATGGAACTAAATACGAAAAAAAAAAGAAAAAGCAATCCATTGCCAAGTTGATATGGAGATCTGTCTCTTGTGGCTTCCTAACCCTATCCCAATGGCCACATAGTAAAAGTTTTCAAACATTTTAAAGAAGTTGGAACTAGAGATGTGCCACTTCAAAGGATTGAATTAAGAAGTTAGGACATTTGAATCTTTTCTTCTGCAGAATTAGCATCCCCAAGTGCTTCAGTTGTTTCACACATTAATTCATTTAACACATATTTCATGCGTGCATCATATGTGACAATCACTGTGCTTAATAACTAAGAGTCAGATAATAAACAAGAAAGCAAACAGATAAATGTAAATTATTACCAAACATGGTAACTGCTATGGAAGAAAATGACAGGACATGGTAGTAATGGACCACTATGTAATAAGGGGTCACTATAGTGATCAGGGCTCTGTGAGTAAGTAGGAACTTTTCTTACTTTTTAGATGAACCAACAGCATTACAGATGCTGGACACAGACATTAGGAGCTCGGAGACAATCCTCTGAAACTTAAGTTGACTCATATATCTGACTTCAGGATGTGCATGTCTTCTAAATGTCCTGGACACCTCACTGTTGTTGTGGTTAAGTGCTGTCGAGTGGGTTCCCACTCAGCAACCCTGTATTGGGTTTCTGAGGAGCGACTGGTGAGTTTGAACCGCTGACCTTGCAGTTCAAACCGACCTTATGGTCTAGTGCCAGTTCAAACCGACCTTATGGTCAGCGCCACCCCAAGACTCCAGACACCTCATGCTCACCAGAATTCATTATCAGCCCTTCGTTCATCCCCTCCTTTGACTCTATTTTTCACTTGAGTGAAAGGCAGGTAGCATTCATCATTATTCATTCTCTTGTCTAACCCAGACACATTGGAGAGTTCTCCTTTCCCCTCATCCTCTATAAAGGAGCTCTGGTAGAGTAATTGTTATGAATCGGGCTGTGAATTGCAAGGTCAGCAGTTCGAAACTACCAGCTGTTCTGCGGGAGAAACCTGAGGCTTTCTGCTCCCGTAAAGATTTACAGCCCTGGAAACCCTGTACAGGATTGCTATGAGTCGGAACTGACTCCATGGCACATAACAACAACATCCTGCTAATTCTGTCTCTCATATAGTTTTGCCCCTCCCTACTATCATCGCTCAGGTCCACATCATCTCGCATGTCTTACTACAGACAACTTCTAATTAGTCTTTGAAATCCCCAAATCTGCATGGTCCTCTACACCTTCACCAGAGAGATCTTTTTGAACTACAGTTCTCTTCATGTCACCACTCTGTTTTAATCTTTTTATGGCTCTCCATCACCAGTATGTAGAGTGGTAAAGTGGAAGGTCAGCGAAAAAGAGGAAGACCACCCCCCAATGAAATGGATTGGCACAGTGGCAGCAGCAATGGGCTCAAGCTTAGCAAAGATTGTGGGAGTGACACAGGACCAGACAGTGTTTCGTTCTGTTGTGCATAAGGTCGCTATGACTTGGAACTGACTCAGTGGCACCTAACAATAATCACCAGTAAGAGGAATTGTAACCTACTGACCTTGCATACATTATCATCACCTAGCCACTAACTGACTGTGTCATCTTGGACCTTTCCTTAGGGACAGAGGTTGAAATAGATCTACCTGTAAGATGTCCTGCAGTGCTAACACTCCTCACTCAGATGGAAACAGATTTTTGAAGTCTTGAGTCCAAATCCCAGTGAAAGTCAATGTCTCCTTACCATTCATGGTTTTAGGAAGTTGCACCTTCCAATCTCCATGATGCTTGAAAATGTTCCCCTTCTTGACTGCGGACACCTGCTTTCTTCCCTAAAATCCAATAGACAGTTTTGATATCAGTACGTAGTGGTTACGAATTGGGGTGCGAACCACAAGGTCAGCCATTTGAAACTACCAGCGGTTCCATGGGAAAAAGATGAGGCTTTCTGCATCCATAAAGATTTACAGCCTCGGAAACGCTATACAGGGTCGCTATGAGTCCGAAACGACTCCACAGCACATAATCGCCACCACCACATCTGTACTTAGTTTCTCTTATAACACAAATGTGTAGCCCCATCAGATCTTTTCAGCCTTTGCCACTCAAATTGGGGTCTCTAGCCTGAAAGTATTATCCTGTTAAAAATGCAGACTCTCAACTTCAATCTAGATCTACTGGATAAGAATCTACATTCTAGAAAAAGTTCTGGGGCGTTTGAGTGTGTATTAAATTAGAGAAGACCTACTGTAAACCACAAACTCTATCTTTATTGCTTTTTCTGAACTGAAGGACAAACAAATGCAAAATAATAACAATAACAAAATAAACCTTTGCTGCCAAGTTGATTTCAACTTATGTCAACCCAATGTGCTTCAGAATAGAACTGAAATCCATTCGATTTTCTTGGTTATAGTATTGTGGCGGTAGATCACCTGGCGTTTCTTCCATGCTACCATGGTAGATTCAAACCACCAAGCTTTTGCTTAGTAGCCAAAATTAAGCCATTGTGCCACCAGGAAAATATGAGCAGATCCCCCCACCCCCAATTCATTGACGTTCCAGTATCTCAGACATTCATACCATTGCTTCGCCACACCAATAGGGACTTTCCCCAGTCTCCCTGGCTCTTACACTCAATCCCCTGGAAACAGTTCCTTTTGCAAAACCACAATTACCACGTGTGGCAGCTCCCCAGCACCCTCCCAAACCAACTTATGTCCCGGAAGCATTTCCAGCTGCTTCCTCTGTGCCTCTGGGCAAATGCATGCACAGCTGTGAGCCCTGGCTCACAGAAACCAGCCCTGAGTGCTCCTTCTGGACCCTGGAGCTTGTGAGGATCTCCGAGGTACCAATGCATGGAGATCTTAGCCTCACATGCTTCCTGAGCCTGGAGAACAGTCAAGTACACTATGGAGATCTATGAAGACTTTGGTCCACCCAAATCTCCTGAAGAAGCCCCATGTGTTTTCCCTAAACCCTGGAATTATAACCTCTTTCCAGTCCTTGAAGCAAATGACTTCCTCAAACCCTCAAAACAAGGGAGAGTGTGTTGATCTTGGTGATCCTCATTTTACAACATGGATAGATAAATATCCCCAGAGGTCAACAAGGGAGTTTCCATATTCCCTTCCCTAGTTAGAAAGTAGGACAAAACTTGAATTACAACAAATATGGAGGTCTGGGCAGCCTATAGTGATTGAGATCAGTCCAGTGTGGCGCCTACGGTTTTCAGCTCAGAGCCACAGCCCTACCTTTGTCTCTGAGGAGCAGACATTGCAGGGGCCTCACCTTGATTCAATAGAGTGTATCACCCCTCAGGATACTGCCATTACTGTCAGAAGGGAAGATAACCAACTTTATCAATACTTACTCTGTTCTAGTCCTGAGCCTAAGTTCTTTACTTAATTAATTTCCCATTAACATCATCATATAGAAATTATTGTGTCCAGTTGCAGATCAGAAAGATAAATCAAGGAAGTTAAATAACTTGCTCAAGCTTACCACAGCCACTAAAAGGAAAACTGACCCCAGGTCCCCGTTCCACAGCTTATCCCTCAGACCCAACCTGAGATCTTTATACTCTTCTGAACTGTTTCTCATTATTCTAACAACACTGGAACCACTGACATTAACTCTAGAACCTGCTTCCCAATTCCTGAGCTCTCACCTGTATCTTTGACTCCTGAGGTGTGACTCAGTATGTGTGTCGTAGTGCCATTGAAGAAGCCCTCTGTTTACTCTAGAAACTCTTGAGGTATCAAAAACTGAACAACGTCTCTCTCCTTACTCTCTTTAAGTCTGATACCCAGGGGTCGTTGTGACATCCTCAGGGGGTCCACCATCTTCTCCTTATCTTCTCCCTAGAGATGCAAGGATACAAAGGAGTCACATAAAAAAGACTCCAGGACAAAGGAGAGTATTTGGAC